GACGCGTCGGCGCGGTCTGTTTCATCATCTGGGGTCGTCCGGACGAGTTCGCCGTTGGGCGAGTCGATTTAAGCCAAAATCGTGTGTAGTGCTGTAAATGCGTGAAAAGCGGCGTTCGCGAGTAATCGAGTCACAAAGGGTTCACCTAAGGCTGTTGATCCTATAGGAACTCAATTTCAAGCACTCTACATGTTGGTCTTTAGCCCTTGCAACTAAAAGTTGAGTGCTTGGGACCATTCGTGCGAGTTTTCACAAAAATGAGTAAAGAAGCGGTTTGAAGTTCTATGGGAGGTGGGCTCCATTACTAGTCCGCTAGGATGGTCAACCAGGAACTCCTAAGGCTAGATTATGGGTTCTGGGAGTAGGAGACTAAGACCTCACAAAAATGAGGTCAACATATATAATTTCTATTTAACACTCATTTGCATAGTAACCCATCTAATGAGGCTTAAACATATATTTTTGCAAAATCTTACGCGCAAATGTTGTATAGAGGAACTTTACTTTAGAACCCTAATTAATAATCATGTTACAACCTTAGATGATTCACTTATCAAGAATGTTGAGTGGTTAAAATTATTAGATGCATTAAGTGCATTATGATGAGCTTAACCATTTTGACGAGAATACATATTTCTAACATTAGTAGTAACTTTGTTTAATGGTATAATGTCATTTCTCTCTTAATCACTTAATTTAAATTTAAATCTAGAAAGTATTGTTTTATGATTCCAAGCTAGGTCAAAAAACATTAATAACTCCACAAATTCATTCATTATCTTCTGTAAAATATTTTATTCCTTATTTTAATTCATTAAATTTATAAAACTACAACATATTCAAGTGTGCTAATGAGAATCGTGAAATTGAGACTACACAAGTCATAGAAGTGACATTTGAACTTGCGGAACTTTTAGTCAATGTCGTGTGTCCAGCAGGGTTTTCTAAAGTCTCAAAATGTCAACACAGAATGAAAACTCCTATAAAATTACCAGTACTTCGTAATGATTAAGTACTCTTTAAAATTATTGTTCTGGATAGCATAATGAAGTTACAGGTGACTAGAAATAGAGATCCATTAAATGCAGAAATTTTAGCACAGGGTTGAGCACTATCTTGATTAAGCTGAAAATAACACCAAGCCTCTCATCTTTGACGACTTGTACAGCCAACTTTGGTTATATTCAGTTTGTCTGATATATATTTAAGCAATTTTTCGGGTTTGATTCCCTTGAGCTTTCAATTCACCAACATTAACGTGAAAAAAATTGTTGAGGTTTGACATACATAAAAATTACACGGATGTGCACAGACAATGGTGGAGATTTTCTGCCTAGGCCCACATAATTACGTTATTATCACTTATAGCAAGCCAAAAGGATCTATCTAAAACAAAGATAATTTATAAAATATATCTCACGAGATAAATTTCTAACCTTGAAAAAATGCAACTATAATATGCAAAAACAACTACAAAATTTTTAAAATTACCTGCAGCATTTTAAATTCAGGTGAAACATAGATCCACCTGTAATCATCAACTGTGCTGACTTGACCATTTTTAGAAGTCTCGGAAGGCGAAGAGCAATAGCCCATCCGAAACCTTACTGATTTTGCTGAATATATGGGACTCCCATTTTGAAAGTATGCTGAAAATAAAGAAAAACTATTAGCAAGTCAGGATAGCATGAACTACAAACAAACAGTAATGCTAACCTTCAAATGGCTGTATTTTTATTTCATTTATTACACACAACTTTGAAAGCAAACTATAAGTTAATGTCTCCGGTACTTCGGGATTCTTTTGTCCCTCACTCGACCAGTATGAAGGTCTAATGTCTACACGATCATTTGGTTCCAATGTGTTTTCGATGCTCTCATCGGGAAAATTATCCGTGCTGGAGGCGCAGATTGCCTCAAGGATGCAATCTCTTTTTGCTAGAGGTGAAACCATGCAGTGGCTTAAATATGAATAGACCCTGTGCTCTCTTTCTAAACTCCTCCATTCTGCACCAGAACTAGACCCGGCTTCTGAACTCTGCACGCTACTTATTTCAGTCACATGTGCAAAATTTGAGACCTCGAAGCATATTCTTGAGCAAAAGTTCTTGCAAAAACCATTTTCAATAACTGTGGGCATAAAAAACACCTTTTAAAACTTTCAATCGTATAAAATATTACATAGTTTAAAAAAAAGCTCAATGCATCCTGATAAAGTAATAGTAAAAACACTTTCTTTTTCAATAGAGAATTGGTGCAGAAACTAGAATAATGTTTTAGATACCAAATTGAAAATCTATGAAGAAAATATAACTAATATGCTATATTCCTACAATAAGAAATCATTTTTAAGAACAATGGAGTAAAATAGATGGATCTGAATATCTCCAAAAGAAAACAAAGGAACTCTTAGACTAAAAAATAACAATTAAAAATGATATGCGTTGAGGTTATTGTCGGTCAACTTTTTCGATAGATAAATTATGAAAATATGGTATATGAAAATAATTTTTGAGATTTAATTTAAGTATAAAAGATATATAGTTTGAGTTTTAAAAGTAGTATGTTTTAATTTTTGAAAAATGAGACCAAATGGATCTCATTAGTCTGATAGTTTGCATAATCGTGTCTGATACCGCGAATACTACACCCTCCCGAGAGATAAGTGTAGACCTCAGCGATAGACCCAATCCTGCAAACTAAGAGATTTGTGACATCCGCTTGGTCTGCGAACCTTTTATGTATGACTGACAAGTTCCCCTATTTAATACAAAGATTAAATAGGGTTTATTTTACCTGGGTTCCAAGTTCCCTATAGAGGCAAGCCCCTATAGTTAATTACATCCCAAATGACGGGAGTCACTTGAGAAAACTCTCGATAATGATCAATGGTTCTAGTCTTCAAGAATTCAAGGTTCAGGTTTTCAAGGTAGGACGTAGAAGGGCAAATGGGAGTGGCTCAAACATGAACAGTTATTTCAGGAGTCCAAAGGAAAGAAAAGGTAGGGGATGTCACAGATCCTGAGGAGAACCCTCAGTGACTTCCCAAACTATCCTAATGTGTGGCTGCATTTTTAGAGATGATGTTATTTAAATGTTCAATCCTGCCAATTTTATTATTTGGGACTTACATTTGCATAATA